AAAATAATGTTGTCGACTCTATTCCTCTAATGATTCCATCCTGCTTTTTGTTCCGGGATCGAAGACGAAAGCAGGCGATGATTTGTGTTTTCTTTTTCCGCTCCAGATATACTTGGAACGCACTTTCTGATTTGAGAAAAGCGGAATCGGCATGCACCTCTATATTCAAACTCGTCTTAAAGAGTGTCTTTTCTCGGAGTTTTTTTTTTTTTTTTTTTTTTTTAATCACACTATATTGTTTTTGTTTTGCAATGTAAGTTTAGTAACAAGTAGGCACTGTGCTTCGTACAGCGCAATATAAGCATGTCGAAATAATAATGAATAATAAATAAGTAGGCCTATTAGATATTACGTGATTTTCAAATGTATTATCATGTCAATACGATAAACCTATTCAATAGTGTAGAAATTTAAAAAAAAAAGAATTCCTACTTTTCCGGATGATTTGATGCCCCTTCGTAAACAGATGTAGATGATGACCCAAGCGAAGATCAGGCAGCCCATGAGAGGCCACACAATCGAGCCCACCTGACCAATACCAGGGGCCTCGTGAAGAACAGCATTCCTGGAAATATAAATTTATCATTTGTTACTTCCCTCAGAGCCTGGAGGTTATGTATTCGTCGCTGTCTCCCTGTCGCAAGATTACGCAAAAACTAATGAATGGCCTCATCATAACATTTAGTGGAATGGTAAAAGGTCATGGAAAATCGATGTTCACCCTTCGAGCACAAAAGACAAATATTGGGATCGCCCCTCGTATTCGGCCACAGGAAGGGGTAGCACTCAAAAAATAAATATGCTTGAATACGAGTGGTGATTCAATTATTTTCTTGAAGGGATGCTGCTACACTCAAGAAGCTGAATGTGCCTTAATCATCAGCCTACGTATTGTTTGGTATTGAGGAACAGACCGGAGGTATGCACTCATGGAGTGACTGCTCTAGTTTTATAAGGTTTTATTAATACTATTACTACTACTACTACTACTACTACTACTGCTGCTGCTGCTGCTGCTGCTGCTACTGCTGCTGCTGCTGCTGCTAAAGAAAACTCGTTAAAAGGTATAAAGTAAAAAAAAAAGGAAAACCAATATAAATTTAATTAAGTGGAAAACCAAGTTCACTGCGACGTTATTAGTGAGACTTGAACTATGGCTGCAATGAGCGAAGTGCATCGTGGATCACAATCATTGCGCGCTATATGGGCTGGCCTTACACAGGAAAGTGCATTTTCAGTTCATAGCGATTCAATAACTTAAAGCAAAATTGTTTATGCATATCACGGTAGTTTTGAGTTTAACCTAGCTGTAACTGGTTTATGCGCTTTACAAAAAACGCAAATTGCGTTTAATTAATTAAATCAATTGTCAACAAAAAATCTTTAAATGGTCTTCATATCCACACCCTACTGCGGATCGTCACCAAAATTGGATCATTTCTTCATTTCACCATGAAAAACTATTCTGCAAAGTATCATTTTTATCCATAACTGGGACGTAAGCAATTTAAAAGACCCTCAAATTTACACAGTACCCTGGATCGTCCCCTACATATCATAATATCTTTCTTGCAACTTGGGTTAAACTTTCACGAAAGTTTTATTCGGATCAGTTAACCCATTTTTGAAATATCTGGTCAGGGACGTTTCTTTACATGGTCCTCATATTCATACCCCACGCCGGATCATTACAACAATTAAGTCATTTCTTTACTGGATCTTTATCCAAACTATCATAGAAAGTTGCATTTGCACCCATTGACAACTTTTTATAGATATTTACGTCTGGAATCTCTGAAAAATTTAAATGACCCTACAATGTACACCCTTGACAGATTCGTCGCCAACACATAATACTATCTTCCTTGTAACTTGGTTAAACTTTTGCCGAATGTTTCATTCAGTTGATCCGTTTTCAAAATATTTGGTCTGGGACGTTTTCCTTTCAATGGTCCTCAGATCCACACCCTACTCCGAATCGTCACAATAATTTAATCATTTTTTTTACAAGACCTTTACAAAGTAGGCCTATTATAGAATATTTCATTTAGACCCATTCGTCTTTTTTTAAAAGATATTTAAATCTGGGTCCTCAAAAAATGAAAAAAAAACCCTCAAATTTACACCCTTCACTGGATCGTCAATAACACAAAAAAAATTCTTCTTTGTAACTTGATTAAACTTTCCCGTAAGTTTCATTCAGATCAACTGACCGGTTTTTGAAATATCCGATGTAGACTGTTTGACCTTAAATCACTTTTTATTGGTCCTCGCACGCACCTCCCCGCCCCCACACCATAGATTGACACTATATATTAGGAGGAACATTCTTGATGGCCTATACTTCGGCAAAGCACGGAAAAATTCTAAGCACGGGAAGAGACCAACGTGACGGCCATTAAAAAAAACAGTGCAAAAAGATAGAAAAAAAAAATATGCCAGGAAAAAAAGAAAAAAAAAAAACAACAATGCTTTCCCACTACTCCTGGGAAAAGCCAATAATAATAATAATAATAATAATAATAATAATAATAATAATAATAATAATAATAATAATAATAATAATAATAATAATAATAATAATAATAATAATAATAAAAATA